TGTGTGTGTATGTGTATGTGTGTGTGTGGATAGATAGATCGATGAGAATAGATTCGGATAGATAGATATGAAGACACTGACATAGACCTGCACATAGACAGATTGATATATAGATAGGAAGAGACTGAGATAGAGATGCTCATATACATACATACATACATATATATATATATATATATATATATATATATATAAAAGTGAGCATAGAAGTTAACACTTAGAGGCTACAGTCTGTTTCATGCTAGATGCAATCGTCAGGCCACGTGTGCTGTTCTTTCTATATATATAGATATAGATAGATAGATAGATAGATAGATAAAAAAAGACAAAGATTTCAAAGAGTAAAGATTTCAGCTCCTTTTAGCTCGGCTTTCTTTACGAAACTATATTCTATGACCGCCCCCAAAAGAAACAGCTGATTTCTCTCAAATGACACATCACCTATGCTATTTCTCGTACATAAGAAATGCAATCTTTTTAAACACATAAACAGCCAAGTTCCTCTTTGCTCAACTCCTTAGGATTTGGGCTTTGAAGTTAAAATCGTTAAACTTTTTTTTAGCGTTTAAGCTTCCGAACATTTTCGTCTTAAATGTATTTATTTTTTATTCCTTTGCCATAGATCATGTGAGAGTCGTTTCTTTCTTTTTACCTTTTTTACTTCAGTGTAAACCGGGGCTGTTGTTTTTTTTTTTTTTTAATCTAGTTTAAACAATATCTACAGTGGCCCAAAAGTCACCTAGGGACCTGAACGTTTAATAACTTTCTGTTTATAAATTTTAGCATTCTTTCAGGTATTTTATAAAGGAGGCTTTGGAAATTAGTCATTTGAAAATACACGACCGAAAACAAACCCAAATAGTGAAAGCTATGTAAAAAGCCAATGATCAATAATTCAAACTTTACGGGCATATCGTCGCCATTATTGTGCAAGAGATTCTCCAAATTTTGAGAGTAAATATTCAGTAAGTGACCTTCCACGAAAAGGGTATACCAATTTCGGTTAAGAACTAAGGTGTAGTTGAGAGAGTAACGAAGAAGATCTGAGCCCAGGCGAAGGCGGTCTCGATAGATTTAGATTTCTCGGATATCACTCCAATGAATTTTGAAATGCTTCAACCTGTTTTCGTACAAAAAGACGGGGCGACTGCTCATACAATAAGGACCACAATCCAGCTTCTTAAGCAAATTTTGGGGAAAAAGAATAATTTCTCACGGTTACCAGCATAAAATTGTCACCACGTTCCTCGGATATGACAAGTCCTGGTCATTTCCTATGGGGCTATTCCAAAGAAAAGGTTCATGTCAACAATCTGTTCCAGACATCGGGTATAGAGTTGAGGTTGATTCCATCAAAATTTTGTTGCTTTATTTTACCGTTAATGTTACTGGTTATTATAGTATTTTTTTAAAAAAAATTCTTCGTTATAGACAATTTGTTTATGGATAATTTATTTTATCAGATTAGCGCGTGGCTCTATTCAAACATAGAAGTTGTTATATAGTAATAAAGTGTTGCTGCCGACACTTGAGTTTGAACATAGATCGCCAGTGAGCAAACAGAGGCGATCCCATTATTGAATTAAGTAGACCACGTGACCATAGAGGAAACGCATAAGTAGGAAATCGAGTGAAATCTAAATGATCGTTTTTTCTAGTCTATTCTCTATTACTATTTGGATCTGCATTTCTAGTCTGTCCTCTATTCTATACGGATCGCTATTTCTATTCTATCCTCTATACTATACGAACCGCTATTCTCTACTCTATTCACCATAATATTTCTCTGTTTAGATCACTATACAGTGGTTGCTTTTGATCGAATATTATCGAGCAAGTATTATTAGTGTGATGGCTATTCGAATATATAACGTTCAACCACTTGACTATAGTTGTATCAGCGATTACAAAGTCTCTACTACAACGGGTATTAAGAAAGTGACAACGAGTATTCGTTGGAATCATAAAAGTGGCAACGTGTATTCGTTGACATCACAAAAGAAGTACATTCTGCTACAGGTTTGTTCAAATTTAGAATACGAATTATTTCGAATTTTCCATGAAACTAACACCAACAGAAAATATAACGACATTAATAAAATAATGTCATTAATAACAACAGCAACAACAAAATCAACAGTGACTGATAAAAAAAAGTCATATAATAAAATAATTACAACCACATTCCAAACTCTTTTGGATATTATCAGAACTAAAAATGTCTATAACAACAATATTTCTGAAGCTGGTATATGCAAAATAAACTGCCACGATTGTTTCTCATAATATATTGGGGAAACTTGCTGAAATTTACAAAAAAAAAAAAGTATTTATAAACAGACGAAGCATCTCATAGATATCAATTTATTCAATGCATTAGTTATACACAGAAATATTTTCAACAAATTCGATCTCAAAAATGCTATACTTATTAAAAGAGAAAATAACTTAATTAGACAGAAAATTCTTGAGAGTGAAGCTATCTATTCTTGCCAAAATGTTAACTTACGCCTTGTATCTTTTTCAAATAGCTCCTTTCTTAAAAGAAATACCCCTTTAACAAGCCAACAAACCAGACATCATTTTTTTAAACAAATACAAGAAAACGGTTAACTCAAGATCTATTAAAATACATATATTTTTTTAAAGAATGGATGTTATTAATACGACAGATTGGTATCACTTTGAACGTTATTTTTAGTGGCTACTGGTATTTGAGTAGATGTTCTAAACAGAATATCTATTTACTTTCATCTACCTTCCTGAATATATGAGAAATCTTATTAAAGAGAAATTTGCGATCTTCTTGTAGGAATCGAACTCGCGTCCGCCAGGGAAGAAAAAGATACTGTTTAGCCAATAGCGCCTTACCACTTGGCCACGAGGAAACAAAGAAAAAACATTTCATGCTTTTCAAGTTTTTTCTTATCTGCCTGCACATTGTTTTGTATTCAAACGTGAAAGAGAAAGGCGTAAATTTGTCGGAGGACGAATATTCTATGTGAAAATTTCTCGGACATTCAGGCCGGTAGATGCTATTTAATACTGTTTATTATAAACAGGGCATTATTAAAAGCAGATATTTGTATCTATAAAAAGAATGTTAAACATAAAAATAAATGTCTTAAAATAATTGTCGGATTTTGTCTATTTCATAAGATATATCTATCTATCTATCTATCTATATATATATATATATATATGAAAGAAAAATACTGAAAAAAACAAAATTCTGAATATGCAAGATTAATGTTAAAATAAAGTCGACGTCAGACAGATCGGTCTATTTATGTCCATCGTCATTTGTGTTAAATTGTTAAAAATGTTAATTATGTTTAAATGAAAATGTCCATGAAGATGGTCTTAAATAGACCGAAACGTCCGATGTCGACTTTATTTTAACATTAATAATGCATATTCAGAATTTTGTTTTTTTTCAGTATTTTTCTTTTTCATACTGTCGGATTTATATCCATATATTTGCTTATATATATATATATATATATATATATATATATAGAGAGAGAGAGAGAGAGAGAGAGAGAGAGAGAGAGAGAGAGAGAATCTCGAGATTCTTGACAAAAAATTCAAAGAGGGGTCTGTAATGTCATCGATCATGACCAGACATCTCGACTTTAGTCATTTTTAACCGACTGTATAAACACTGTGTAACTGTATAAATTCAAGACTGTATGAATCCATTCTGATTTCTTGCTTCCCAATCACCTACAACCTTCAAAAATTTAAATGCACCACCAATCACCATCGTTTGTATTACTGAATCCTCTTTTCTTGTTCTTTCTCCTCATAAAAGTCCCTTTTTCAATCTTTCATCTTCAAGCGACATCTTTGGAATTTTTTCGATTGAAGATGAAACAGAGCTTGATACTTATATTTCAATTTAATTTTTATAACTAAATTGAAATTTTAAGCTCCTGGTTTTGAAAGCGATGGAATAATATTTTTAAAAAATAATTATAATTTAGGCTCTACTTATGTATTGAGCACTGTTTTTTTTTTAAATAAAAACAAAAATACTAAAGAACTTTGATTTATTAACCTAACGTGTTCTTTCCTATTTTTCTATATATTTGCCCCCCCACCATATATATATATATATATATATATATATATATATATATATATATATATAGTCGAATCTCCCGTCGAATTCGACGTTTGAGGGTCAAGCAGGTCAGTTCCCAGGAAACCGACAGCCCGTCAACAGCACATGAGATTTGATTATAGTGGAGAAGGTTTCTTGCAGGACTAGACACACTTTTTGAAGGGCCGAATACAGAGACCTGGTGCACTACGTTCCACAGGGTCCCCAAACGACCCTCCGCAGGTTTTGAATTCAAAGTTGTCCTTCTCCTAGACTAGTTGCCATCCAAGGCTATAGAACCCAGTCTGTCCTGCTATTTACTCATATATATATATATATATAAAATAACGATATATACATTTTTATATATCAAGAAAAATATTGGGTGAATATGTATGACAAAGTGGAAATTTTTTTTCGTGTGATGCGTTTCGTCCGTTAGGACTTAATCGAACTAAATTTGTTTATGTTGGTGCGACTACGCATGCGCACGAATGTGGGATGCTGGGAATTTTAAATTCAGTTTGTGTGTATGTGTGCGTGCGCGTGTGTATATGTATTTTCTAATACTGTAAAAGAATTCCTCTTGTCTATCAAATGTTTTCAATATGTTTTTTGTGGATTTCACCAGCGCCAGACTGACCTGCAAATGTGTCATGTTAATCAACATTTTCAAAAAGGAAAGCGAAACTCTAAACCAAAATAGAAAGTAAACACCCCATTAATCTTTATTTCTTTATCATTTTCATTTTTTCTTCTTCTTCTTCTTCTTCTTCTTCTTCTTCTTCTTCTTCTTCTTCTTCTTCTTCTTCTTCGTCTTCGTCTTCTTCTTCTTCTTCATTCTATATTTGTTTAATTATTACAGTAAGCGAGCTGATAATTTTTTTTTCTTTACTTCAGAATAAGAAAATCAGAAGTCGATGGGAAAAGACAAACGGGAGGGAAGTCGAGCGCCATTTTTCAGTACCGGTCCATAATGAAATCATTAATTTCAAATGTCTCTAGATTTTACAGGGTTATTCAATCTTATTAGTACCTTCATTCAGAAGGCCCGAAACATATCTACCATTAATCAATATATAAGAATTGACTATTTAGAAGCTTAAAGATATTTTAATTCTGATGAACAAAGTTTTGAGGGACCACAGTTTTCTATTCACCTTGGCTTTTCCGTCTCCATCAAGAAGTCAAATATTAACAGCTGCTTCCTTGCAAACAAAAGAACACTGTCTATATTTCTGAGATGAGGTATTATGTACACTATTTAAATTATTCGGACTATTGTCCTCATCTTTGCCGCCATATTTATCCGATCCTGCAGTATCTGCCTATATTTCTGAGATGAGGTATTATGTACACTATTTACATTATTCGGACTAACGTCCTCATCTTTGTCGCCATATTTATCCGATCCTGCAGTATCTGTCTATATTTCTGAGATGAGGTATTATCTACACTATTTACATTATTCGGACTATTGTCCTCATCTTTGTCACCATATTTATCCGATCCTGCAGTATCTGTCTATATTTCTGAGATGAGGTATTATGTACATTATTATCATTATTCGGACTATTGTCCTCATCTTTGTCACCATATTTATCACAACGTTTCGGCAGTTGTATGCTCTGGCAATCTTCAGGTGGTTGGAATGTCGAACTGAACACTTTATTTCGCTAACTAGGGTAGACTTAACCGGGTATTGAACTCACACTCTTTGGGTCCTGTCACTGGATCTAACTAACGTCTTTATTCACTGTGCCATTGTGTCTCGGTTAAGGCAGTGTAGAACTTGGAGAGGGGAATTAACAGGAGATAACTGACAACTGACATCCATTAAAACATGGCACGTGGAACTAGAACAGTCTACCTCAGCGAGCGAAATAAAAGTTTAGTTCAATATTCTAAGCATATGAAAAAGGCCGGAGAGTACATCGGTCGAAATATGGCAACAAAGATGAGGACAATAGTCCGAACAATGTAAATAGTGTACCATGAAAGTATTTATAGAAAAGTCAGAGGGAAGTCACTTCACGGCGGTGTGAAAGTGAATGATATCGAGTAGTCAGGTCAGGATCGATAACATTATAGAGACTTCTTTGGATTTTTTCGAGCATCTCGATATATACAGTCGAGGCCCCAGACCAAATATGGCAGCAATATTCAATGCACAGACGAATGGTAGAGTTATACATGTGCAAGATGGAACCTGACGAGAAAAAATGTCTAGGACGAGACAGTGAAGCAACCATCTTAGGAACTGACCTATCAACTGACTCAATATAATCACTCCACTCAGCAGAATCAGTTAGCAGAAAACGGGAAGTCCATAAGGGCATAATAACTTGTTCTCTTAGTGTTTACCATCAGCCATGCCGATGTAAGTTAAAAACGGTTCTCTATGAGAATCAAATGATAGCAGTTTCGATTTGTAAGCGATAACATTTACGAGCCATTTCTTGCCCCGGTTAACAACTGATTGGAGATCATTTTATGGCACAGCTGACAGTTTTACATTGTCGGACCTATCGGACACCTTATAACAATAAGATTTTTTTTTAATCATTTCACCCGAAGCAAAGCGGAAATGCCACTGGTATGCAGAGGGTTACAGGGAGTAAAGGTGAGGGAGAAATACCGGATATAAAATTGAGATTGAGGTTGAATTTAAATTTTTGAAAATTGTAGTCATCAGGGAATCAATGAAACATCGTTATTTCAATTATCTTATTACTAATTTCAATCCATCTTATTATTATCTCTTTTTATGTCAACACTCTGAGTTTATATTATATTTATATGGTCTGGCGCTACAGAATCCCTAACAAAAGAAAAACTCTACTAAATAACGGAAGCTGTCTCACTTGATGGCTTTCAACAAGGTGAGAACCTGAAACCAAGAAGCTGCAGTGTGTCGCTTTCTATGAGACTAGCATCAGTAAAGGAGCTCTCCATGAGTCTAGAATTATTAAGCGAGCTCTCGATGAGTATAAAATGAATAAATCAGCTATGAGTCTAGCATCAGCAAAACCACTCTCCATGAGACTAGCATCAGTAAAACCACTCTCGATGAGTCTAGCATCAGCATAACCGCTCTCCTTCAGTCTAGCATCAATAAAACCTCTCTCTATGAGTCTGCCATCAGTAAAACCGCTCTCCATCAGTTTACCAACAATAAAACCACTCTCCATGAGACTAGCATCAGTAAAACCACTCTCCATTTGTCTAGCATTAGTAAAACCACTTTCCATGAGTCTAGCATCATCAAAACCGCTCTCCATCAGTCTAGCATCAGTAAAACGACTCTCAATGAGGCTAGCATCAGTAAAACCTTTCTCCATGAGTCTAGCATCAGCAAAACCGCTCTCCATGAGTCTAGCATCAGAAAAACCGCTCTCCATTTGTCTAGCATCAGTAAAACCACTCTCCATGAGTCTAGCATCAGCAAAACCGCTCTCCATGTGACTAGCATCAGTAAAACCACTCTCCATTTGTCTAGCATCAGTAAAACCACTTTCCATGGGTCTAGCATCAGTAAAACCGCTCTCCATGAGTCTAGCATCAGAAAAACCGCTCTCCATTTGTCTACCATCAGTAAAACCACTCTCCATGAGTCTAGCATCAGCAAAACCGCTCTCCATGAGTCTAGCATCAGTATAACCGCTCTCTATGCGTCTAGTATCTGTAAAACCGCTCTCCATGAGACTGGCATCAGTAAAATCGCTCTCCATGAGTCTAGCATCAGCAAAACTACTCGCCATGAGTCTTGCATCAGAAAAAATTCTCTCCATGTGTCTACCACCAGGAAAACCGTTCTCCATGGGTCAACCATTAGCAAAAACCACTTAGAATCGTTTTGAAAATGAAAGTTTCTATTTAGGAAAAAGTGACAATCGCTCGTTTATAATTACGTGAAAATATCAGTAGAACTTAATTCTTGACCTCAAAACATTCAGCGCTCAAGGTTCGCTTCTCAGCTTGTCCGTATGCAACTGGAACCGTGTACATGGATATGTCCATCTGTATTAAGATATGGACTTAGATGATTTGAATTCTCCACAGGTCCCAGACGCCAATGAATAGTCTCAAAGCTAAAAGAAAGGAAAACTTAAATTCTTACGACTCGAAGAAATTTTATTTGCGTCAATCAATAAATTTATGTCAACATTCCGAGTTTATATTATATTTATATGGTAAATGCTACAAAATCCATAACAAAAGAAAAAAATGTGAATGAAGCCTGTAGGACTTGGCGTCTTGATTAGTTATAACAAACAATGAGTTACTCCCCTTGGGGTCAGTATGGCTGATGCTAACCTCTAAGGAAGTGACTTGTTGCGCCTTTTTACACTAACATTTTCAGCTGAGAGGAAGTGGAAGTTTATATTGAATCAATTACTAGATCTTCAGCTAAGAAAGTTGGTTTAATATGTCGTAGTAGACAATTTTTTCTAGCCAGAACTTATCTTACATATTTATAAGTCTACCATTCGTCTTTGCTTTGAATATTACTGTCACATCTAGTCTTGTACTCCTGCTATATATTTAGAGGTTTTTGATAAAATCCAAAGAAGAATTTACAATGCTATTGGTCCTGATCTGGCATCTCGGCATTTATCATTTTCCTACCGTCATAACGTGGCTTCCATGAAAGTTTTCTGTAAATACTTTCATGGTAATTGTTTGGATGAAATTTCCTCTATGGTACCTAGACTTTATAAATTTAAGCGCAGTACTAGATTGGCGGAAAGGTCTCATCATTTTACAGTTGAAGTGGATAGATATAACCGTAAGTTCTATGTTAATATGTTCTTCTATCATAGCTCTAATTTGTTGAAATCTTTTCCGGGTTCTTGCTTCCCAGACAACTTTGATCTTCAAAAATTTAAATGAAATGTTCATTGTTATTTTCTATCTTAATTCTATTTCTTTTATTGTTCTCACACCATAATCATATATTTTTCTCATATTCTCTAACACCCAGTAATCATTGCATGTTAGTGGCTTTATTGTCTTGCTTGGGGGGGGGGAAATGTTTTTAAAATAAATAAGTATAGGAGAAAAGGAAACTAAACATATCATAGTCTAAGCCAGGGTTAGTTTCGCCTAACATTGCAAATTGCTACAAAAACAAAACTTCAACCTGAAAACCCGAGTCATGTTCTTAAATTGACATTCCAGGTCGGGAAATTCATATAGATGTTATGCCTGACGTCAAACCCTTTCAGCAATATATAAACTGTCCAGCTGTATAGAACCGCTTGCTAAACTCAACGGTGAAAAAAGGCTTTGAGCGAATGAAGCCTGAAGAATCTTAGCAAAGATCATCCTTCTTTAAACATTGTGGACTGTCACCACAGAATCACAAACAATGACTTAACAAATAAGAGAAGCTATATCACTTATAGACTTCCAACAGCAGCAACAACTAAAATGGATAAAAAAATGCAACTCGAAGAGAAAATAATGATTTAATAAGGTGTTCACTTTCCACACTACTTCAAACAAAAGATTAGGAAAGAAACTCCTATCAATAATGGAATGAGGATAACAACTACCGGATTTGAAAAAAACCTATTTTTCTGAAAAATTGTCCAAACCTTGTGAGTGGTATTGCATAGACAGAATGAACTATTTAAGAGTCGTCGATGGTTGGGCTAGTCATCGTCGATGGTTGGGCTAGTCATCGTCGATGGTTGAGCTAGTCATCGTCGATGGTTGAGCTAGTCATCATCGATGGTTGGGCTAGTCATCATCGATGGTTGGGCATCATCGATGGTTGGGCTAGTCATCGTCGATGGTTGAGCTAATCATCATCGATGGTTGAGCTAATCATCGTCGATGGTTGGGCTAGTCATCATCGATGGTTGAGCTAGTCATCGTCGATGGTTGGGCTAGTCATCATCGATGGTTGAGCTAGTCATCGTCGATGGTTGAGCTAATCATCATCGATGGTT